GTGTCTCTTTGTCTTCATAGATCTTGCCAGATGCATTTCCACAAAGATCTAACAGTAGCTTCTACCCCCTAAGGATGTGGGGGCCTTCCCTCCCAGCCAGCTTCCTTTCTGTGCAGTGGAGGTGGCAGGTGTCTCTTGGATGGACTGGTCACGTGGAGTGGAGGATGAGAAGGGGGGTGCTGGGAAAGCTTTGCTTGGTGGCCTCTCCCTGAAGCTGGGTGAGTTCAGCGTCACTGCCTGCCACTCAGGCGCTTCTGCCCTCCCTACCTTGTTGTGCCATCTCGAACACAGGCGTGGAGCCCCTGGCTTATTTCTGCTTTGTCATTTATTTTTTTCAGAGGTAGGTAGAGAGAGAGGGAGCTCTCATCTGATGGTTCGCTTTACCGATTGCCTAGCAATCAGGAACTCAATTTGGGTCTCTCCCATGAGAGTGGCGAGGTCCAAACTGCTGGAACTGTCACCCGCTGCCTCCCAGGGAAGCTAAATTTCAGAGCCCATTCAGCCTAGGCGCTCCGATGCTGGATGCAGGTGCCTTAACCTGTGTGTAACTGCAAGCACCTGCCCCTTGCTTCTGCTCTGGAAAGCATTTCTTCTTATTGCACCATCTGCCAGTGACACTGGCAGCATGTTGCTTGCCATCCAGATGAAATCACTTCATCTGACCGTGGGTCTCTCTCCCGTTGGCTTGCAGACACAAGCACTCCCTAAGAAGATTATAAGGCTTGCCTGATGTGGGCTGGGATTAAACTTCGGCATGTCTTAGAACGCTTCTGCCCAACCCCGCCTAAGAGGGTTGAGGGAAGCAGCCGCCCAGTCCTGTTTCCTTCCAGCAAGTCGGCACTGATTCCTCAATGATCTGGCCTTTGACAGTGAACGGACGGCGGCTCTGTGGACTGTCGCGTTCCTGTGCTAGCTCGATGGCGTCTAGGAATCTCTGTCATGCCCCACTAGCCTGTTAACCTTTAACCTGCCACAGCCACATCATTCGTGGCTGATGGTGAGTGAGGGGCCCAGGCTGTGCTCCAGCGTGATGAATGAGGTACAGCTCGACGCCTGCCTTGTGCTGGGGACTCCAGCGAAGCTGCTGTGGATGTAGGCGGGTGATGCATGCCCCTCACAGTTACTACAAGAAGAGGAGGTTGGAGAACGTGGTAACTGACCTGGGAAGGCTGTGGGGAGGCAGGAGAAGAAAGGGGTGGGTGGGAAGGGGACGCATAGTGATATCTGAACAAGGGGATAATCTCACAAACTATATTAAACTGGTGTTGTGGCATCCAGGGCACAGAGTGGCAGGTAAGTCTGTGATATGGAGTGGGGGCAGTGAGAAGGTAGCAGTGGGCACCTCCATTGGGCATGGGTGACCTGTGCAGCTCCACCTGGTGAGGGTGTGAACGAGGGGCAGGCACATACAGCTGGTTGGGCATAACCTCACGGTGGGCTCTGTCACAGAGTCCCTGTTCCTGATCCTTGGCTGCTGGCCCTGGCCCCCCTCATGACATCTCTCCCGCCCCCCTGGCCTACCAGGGCACTGCCTGGACCAGTGCTGCATCCACTATCCTAAGGTCCCCCAAATGTCCTCTGTGTGCTGTCCAAACTGGGAATGTGTTGAGAGTAGGTCCCGTATCTGCCCTCGTGTGGTCCTGACCCTGTTGAGGGCTGCAATCCCATCCAGGACTAAGTAACTCAACTGTTGCCAGCTCCAGGGTGGGTGTGTGCAGGGCGGGTCAGCCAGGGGCTGTGGCCAAGCCCTCCTTTGGCAGAGGCAGCTGGCCCAGCCTGCTCCTAGGTGGCAGCTGCAGGCGGAGTGGGTCCAGGCTCTGCTTTATGGGCACAGCTGGGCACTGTCTCTGAGACATACCTGGTGGCTCTGCAGGATCAGCTGGACGGTGGCACAGCTGCTCTCAGGTCAGTGAGCGGGTGGATGAGAGTTGTGCCCCATGGGGAGGTGGCCAGGGCTCCACGGGGCCTCCTGGCTAGGGAGGGTTCTGTGCCCTGGGTTAAGGGGATGAATGGCACACCTTAGCTGTTGCTGTGAGATCGAGGGAGGGCCGCCATGGGGGTGCACAGCAGGCCTTTGCACAGGCAGGCTCTGGAACACCCCGTCTCAGACAGAGTCCTGGGTAGAGTGGGGCTGTGCAGGGAGTCTGGGCTTTGGGGTCACCGCCGGTGTCTGTAGCCCTGGTGACTGGCTTGGCCTGTCGCAGGCTGAGTTGTAAGGGGCTTGTCCTCATTCAACCATGGCAGTGGGCTGTGTTGCCTCTCTGGGAGAGATGAGGAGAACCTGGAGAGGGTTGTGGCCATGCCACGTGCTCGCTGCTGCTGCCTGCTTCTCAGACTGGCAGCCATGGGCCGTGAGTCCCAACCCTGGTGTGTGTCTAGCGTGCGTCCCAGCAGCTCTTGTGGGTGAGGGCCTTGGAAGGGGCCCCTGTGGATCTTGTCCTCAACTCTGCATAATCTGCAGGCATGAGCGGATGACCCTGACAAGGTATATTCCCAGGCCCTGGTTTCGGTTCGCACCTGCCCCTCTCTACCTGCTGCAGAGCCTCTGGCTCCTGTGGGGCTTGGCCCCACCCCCTGCCTGCTCCTCCTTCCCAGAGCTGTTTGCATTGGACAGAGATTTGGAACTTCTGGCAGCTCCTTCCTTGGCTGGCTGGAAGGCCAGCACAACTAGACTGGGGGTACAGGCGGGCCCCCATTGCCTGCACAACCCTCTGGCTGCTGACCTTGAAACAGGCCACATGAAGCTGGGCATGAGGCCTGGCCACCTGGCTGGGCAAGGGGGAGCCGTCCCAGCCCACTGGGTACTGAAGGCAAGGAGGTGGCATTGTCACTGTGCTTGCTGATGCTGGTGCACAGCCCGTCAGCTGGATGCCATTGGTTTGTGTTACATAACAGAGCTGGCCTTGCCGTGCGGTGGGGAGGAGAGACGCTAGAGGCATAGGTTACACACAGCTAATGTGGGGCCGGGGGAGGCAGACATGGGGGCTGGCAATGTTTCTACAGACGCTTTCTGCACTGTGGCCATCCCCTCAGTGGGCATGGGTGTGGGCCCCTCCCTCCAGTGTCCGTTCCCTGGTAGAAGCTAGAATTCAGCAGGGATTTAGTTGGGGCCCAGGTGGGAAAGCTGGAAGGAAAGTGACTGCACCGGTGTTGGGGCTGACATGACCGATGAGGGTGCTGAGGACCCAGTGCCCTAGCCGCTGTAGCCTCCGGTGGATGGGAGCTTTAGCCCGGGACCTGGGAGGCCCAGGAGAAGGCCCTGGGGCATGCACTTTCTTTGCCCTTGTCAGGGTCAGGGGCACGTGGGAACACAGCCATCCGAACACTGCCTGCCACGTGGGGGCTGCGACACCTGTGGATCGTGTCGCCAGAGCCCAGGATGGTCCCCTTGCTGTCAGGATTGGGGCTGCTGCACCCAATGTCATGGGGGGCCGGTGCTGGGAAGCCCTGATTGTGCTGCTCTTTCTGCTGCAGCAAAGCTGGTGCTGTCACCAAATCCCAGAGGATTCTCTGTCACCTGAGCCCCAGCTGTCTGAGTCCTCTGTGTGTGTGTGTGTGTGTGTGTGTGTGTGTGTGTGTGTGTGTGAAAGGCCATTTGTAAGGTTTGGGGCTTAGGCAGCTTTTCCTGTTCTGGGCAGGTCTGCTGGGGCCTGGGCCGAGACTGTGATGGGAGGGTTTAGTATTGTTGTGTGGGGTTGGGTGTGGTGCCAGGCTGAAGTGGTTGGTTGAGGCCCAGGGGCATGGCATGTTGTTCTTAGAAGGACCTGTTACTGTGGGTCAGGTGCAAAGCCAACCGCAAGGCTCTGTGGGCAGTTCTGGCTCCACCTCGTTCCAGCCTCAGCTCAGGGCTGTCCTCCACCCTCTGAATAGCCCACTTACCCGCTGCCAGCCTCTCAGCACCACGGGTGCCCCACCGGGGACCAAGCACAACTAGGCAGCCCCTGTGTGGACACACCACATGCACACACCCTGGACATTCTGGCCTCTTGCCCGCTGACTGAATCCATGCAGGTAAGTCCAGTTCCATTCGGTTTACAAGGCATGAAGGGCACACCTGGCATGCTGCACGTACCTAGGGATGATTGGCAGGTAGTTTTATGCAAGGTGCTGGACAGGTCAGCCGGGGCAGGGGCCTCCTGTTTTCTGAGAGACCAGGGGATAGATACTTTGTTGAAAAGGGCCTGGCTGTGTTTAAGGCAGGGGAGGATTACGGAGGCTGCCAAAGCAGAGGGCACAGCTTAGGGGGAGCATAGATGGGGCGGGTTGCATAGGATGTGGATGGCGAAGTGCCTGGCGCATCGTGTACTTCTTAGTGTGTGAAGAGTTGGGCAGCATGGAGCCATGCTCAGGTTTTCAGCACATGAAGGGCCAGGCTTGGGTTTTGTAGGGAGACCCTGGTGTTGCCATATGAGGAACGGGGCGGGGTGGAAATGCAGGCTCAGAGCAAGATGTTGGGGCTGGTGAGGAATCTAAGAGTAGGCAGTGTGGTTGCTAGACCAAAGTGCAAGGCTGGGAGACCTCCAGGATCCCCGGGCTTGTGAGTGGGCACTTGAGGAGGTACTCAACCCGGGTGGCTCCCAGGATGAGCTCAGGTCCAGAGAAGGGATGCTGGGCATCTTCTGTGCTCAGTGTGGGCTGCTCCTGGTGGGAGATGGGCAGGCCGGGTCTGCTGCTGCCTAGGTGCAGGTAGCGTTGCTGAACCCACTGTAGGCATGTGTGCTTTGTGGTTGTGACAGGGTGACCAAGGACCCCTGCTGCACTGACAAGGAATTACTCCACCGGAAACTCCTGGGTTAGAGTGAGTGAATGCTTATAGCTGATACTGTGCTGGGTGGAACAGAGCTGTGGGTTGGCTGGTTTCCGCTCTGCTGTAACTCATTCAGTGAGTTCTCCACCCCCCCTCTGGCCAAGCCGAGAAGCAGGGCCTGTGCATGCGCTTTTGAAGCTCGAGCCAGCCTTGGCCGTGCATAACTGTCCTGGGGGGGCGGGGGGCTTTGGGTCAGTCCCCACTGATGGTGATGGAGGCAGGATTGAATGGATGCTGGCTTTTGCAAGTTCTAGCCTCCCTTTGGCTAATGAAACATGACTTGGTGTGTGGGGGTTGCGGGGGAGGCTCTGTAATCAGAAGGAATATTTTTCCTGAAGTGGGCGTGTTTGTCTTAGTGGGACTGTGGCTTTAAGAACATTGCCTGTAGGGTTCCTGACGGTCCTGGGCAATGGGTGGAGTAGAATGTTCTCCTCTCCGCTGCGAGGTCTTCAAGAGGATGCATGAAACCCTGTTCTTGAACTTGTAAAGCAGTCTATGAAGGTTCTTAAGCTGCACAGATCACATTCGCTTCTAGTCCAAGGGTATCAGGAATGCTCCAAATACCTTGGAGCCAGAAGCACTCTGTCTCACAAATGACAGAAGGCAGAGGGCCTGTGATGCTCTCGGCTCTGTCACAGATGCGGCCTTGATCTAATTTCCTGGTCCCAGTTCTGTCATCAGCTCTGGTCACTGTCGCCCTCCCCCATGGTGAATGGGCGTCAGCCAGCTTGAGCTTTGGCTCTTGACGACAGCCACTGTGAGGTCATGGGCTCCGAATGCTGTCCTTGAGCCAGACCAGGGCACCCACCATCTGTCAGATCTGCTTCTTGTCTCCAAACTGGACGCTGGATCCCAGACTTGGGGCGGAGGTGCTGATGTTGGCTCCTCCTTTGGCTTCTCACGGAGTCAGGGCTGCCCCTCTCTGCCCAGTCAGAAAGGCTGGCAGCCCTCTGAGGGCTATTTAGGATGTGGGTTGCACGGACTTGAGCTGTCAGCCAGGCAACAGCTCTCCTGACGTTTGTCTGCGTCTGTCCAACGGATGCTGTGGCCTCTCTGTGGCTCAGAGACCCAGGTGCCTGGTCATCGCCTATGCCTGGTACCTTGCTGGCCTCCTTCAACATCCGGACCGATCAGCCACACCTGCGCCCTGCTGACGACTTGAGCAGAAGGCATACCAGGAACTTGCGTCCTTTGCTGGCCACACACAGTGGACTCCTGTCGTCACCAGCCACATGTCCCACCTCAATGCCTCTTCCCTTGAGCTGGCCACCATCACTGCAGCCCCTTGGGGAAGGAATGTAGTTGAGGGATGGGGGCTGGTACAGAGGCTGTGGCCTAGTGGCCAAGGCCATGTTGAATTACCCAACACACTCCTTCCCCCTGTGGGCCACAGAGGTGCTGTGACAACACTCAGTGTAGTATGCTTCCTCTGACCTGGGGAGCTGGGACTGCGCCTTCCTCCACCTTCCTAGAGATGCCTGGGTCTTCCATCCCCAGTCCCCACGGGACTGGGTGACCTGCTCAGGGCCCACTCCCCTCACCATACTCTCTCCCTGGGCCGCCCCCTCCAGCCTCACTCTCCATGGCCACGCACAGAAATGGAAGAGACAAGGGTCAGCTGTCCTGTCCTGTCCTCTCTCTGCACCCCGGGGTGCTCAGAGACTGAGCGGCCAGGCCTGAGGGGGGGATGAGGAGCTGGAGGGCATGCCTGCTGCTCAGGGGTATGTCCGGTGTGGGTGCTGAGCTGAGTGGTCCCTCTGCCTGGATCTAATTCCCCTTCACCTCCTTGGCCTCCAAGGCTGCCTTTCTCCCTCCTCCTTCCTCAGCTCCAGACTGGGCTCTGCCCGGCAGCTCCTGAATTGGCCACACAGGAAAACAATGGGGCCTACACAGGGAACAGCCCTGCTATTTATGGGAAGGAGAATGGGGACTGGCTGGTTCCACGACCTGCGGAGATGGTCACCATGGGGCCTTGTCCCTGCTACTGAAGGCTGCCTTGTTGTGGCCTCATCAAGTAGCCTTCACCCTGGGCTGGCTGCACCTGCTGTGATAACAGAGCCCTCGAAGCCCCTGTGGTCAGTTCAGATGTGCAAGGGAAGCAGAGGCCTGCGTGTGACTGGGACAGCTTGGGGACAGGCTGTGTCCTGGGCACCCCGCTGGCTTTGCAGCCCGGATCTGCAAGCCAGCGCGGGATTGGGGAGCACAGCCCTGGAAAAGGTGAGGCTCACTGGGTGGGTGGGCTGTGGGTGTTTGGACTTCTTCCTCTCTTGTTTGTGGAAGTGGTTGTTATTTCTGCTTGCTCACCGTAGTAGACTGAGAGCTCAGTGGGGCCTCTCTGCCTCTCCGTCAGCAGTGACTGCCCCAGCAGGACACCAGGGGCCACCTGCTTGGATGGGCTTCGGAGTGTCCACCCAGGGTCTGGTACTGCCGTGCAGTGGTGTAAGTAACCTCCTCTCTCCGGTCCGAAGGAGTCGCGTGTCTGTTTATAGCTGATCAGCGAGCAGGCTTTGCTGGCCCAGTTTCCTCCCCCTGGGCAACTGACTTCAGCACCCGAGGGACCTGGTTCAGCGGAACCAGGCGCCATGTGGTTGGGCGAGCCTGTGCTTTCTGCATTTGCCTTGATCCTTGGGGTTTTTCTGCTGTGTGCCAGCTCTTGGTAGTGGCTGGGGTTTCTGGCCTGCAGCTGCGGGTGTGGCCTCAGCTGGCCTCCCGGCCAGGCAAGGCAGGACAGGGTGTGGGTGGAACCTGTGGGACTGGCTCTGCGTGAGGCCCGAGGGCGGTGGCAGTGCTGGGATCTTTGCTGACACAGCCCCAGGTGGCCTCCCCGGGTCACAGGGTTCCATCATCTGAGGTGCGTGCTAGGTCCTAGTGGGTAAACGTCAGAGAACTGAGAAGTGTGTCTCCCCTGGAGGCTGGGGTCAGAGGGGCAGAGAGAAGGGCCAGGAACAGGTTGCTGCCTGCCGCCCCCCCCAGCCCAAGCCTCGTGCCAGGAGACACTGGAGCAAAGCTGCCAGAAACTTGGAGGGCAGTGCCAGGCTAGAATTTACATCGGAATGGGGCTATGAATTGAGGGGGGATCCTTAATCCTCCCCAAATTGGGGTAAAATTTGCATCTGAATGACCCTGCTGAGTCCTGATTCCCTTGGATTCCTTTGGAATGTGTTGCTTTTCTGGTTGTTTTCCAGGTTCTGTTCATGGTTATTTGCATTTTTCCTCTAGCGGTGTGCTTACAGTTAAGGTTACAGACAGACTCCGTCTTTCTTTTCCTAGATTCCTGCCCTCTATGCCAGGGACGATGCACAGCAGGGGATTCAGGGGATAGGTACCCCTGCAGCAGTCCTTGCTAACCCTTCTCCCTAGCACCTCCATGCCTGCAGGGGCCCTGGCAGAGCAGACAGCTAACTCCTTCAGCTCCCAGTAGTGGGAAAAAAAAAGTGTAAATGGTGTCCCAGCTTTGAGGATGATACCTCAAACTCAGGGGTCTCAGGGTGTTTCCTGGAAGAAAAAAAAAAGGAGTTGTGCCTAGCCTGGGCCCTATTCTTGCTGCGTCTTTGAGCAGGGCCTGAGCCTTTTGCGGGCCCTGACCGAGTGTGGAGGTTCTGTGTGAGAGTCCCAGCAGTCTACAGGAGGCTCTTCATGCCTACAGCCTGTGCATGTGTGACCTTCCATGGTAAAGGGGGGGCTTTGCAGATATGACTAAGTATTTCTTTGTTTCAGGGGTGCCTCAATGAGAAGAAGTGACAAACCCCAGGAGGCAGTGAGAGAGTCAGGAGTTTATATACCACTTTAACAAAGGATTATACGTTGTGGAAAAGTGGCTGCACAGAGCAAGGAGGATTTGGCCTCCACTGGGTGGTGAGTGTGAGAAGGAGACTAGGAAACAGGTGGTAGCTGAGATGGTTAGGAAGATGTGTTAGTCACATTCAGCTTAAGCCATCTCTGTTCTTGCTGATGGTACGGTGGGGGTGGGAGGAGCATCCTTACACAAATTTCGCTTGCTGGAAAGGCAAGTGCTGTCCCGCCGGGAGGTGGGAAGAATAGAAAGCTGTGTGCTGCTTTCCGGTGCCTCTTGGCTCGGATGACTCGCCTCCCACAGTGGTGTATTAGCTGTCTGTTCCCAGTCTTGATGATGGAGGAAGGCACCAGGAGCCCAGAAAGGCAAGGGTTTCTACAAGGTGGACAAGGCAAGGACCTGCTTTCTCTTCTCCAGCCTCAAGAGGACCACCACCAACGCCTGGACTGCCGCCCAGCCCGTGTCCTCCCAAACTGAGGGACTATTGTGTTGTTTGAAGCCACCCAGCTTGTGGTCATTTTTACAGCGGTCTTAGGAAGCAAGTACGCCTCTCTTAAGATATGGTCTTGATTCCAAAGGAGTATTGCAGCCAATTAGAGACACAAGGAAAAAAATGGAGCTTTAACTGAGCAGTACAGTGTGAAGTTGGTTGGGCAAAGGCATCATGCAGACTGACAGCATTCACTCCTCAGCATGTGTCCATGAGGGTCTGGGACAGCTGAGGTGGTGCCCAGCTGCTGCTGCCCATCTAGGACAAGCTTTGCCGGGCTCTTTCTGAACTACAGGTGCTGGAAGAGTTTAGCTCAGCAGGGGCTAGGCATCCTGCCAGCTAGCAATGGTAGGGTGGAAGGTAAAGTCAGGGAAAGCAGAGGTGTGTGTGTTGGCAGAACCCCTAGGGTAGAAATAGGGTAGAAATGGTGGGGTTTAGTCCCATTGCCTCAGAGACAGGTGTCATCCCCCTGGACAGGTTGGGGGTTCACATGGGATGAAGCTGTCCTCCATTTGTCCAGCATCCTTCTCTGTCCTGTCTGGGACATGCATTGTACACACAGGTACATCCATGTTTGCAGAGCCAGGCAGAGCACCCAGGCCCCATGGAGGGAGGAGAGAGAGAGAAAGAGAGAGCAGTGTGGACATAGAGGGCTTCTTGTTTGGGATGCCCACAAAGTGGGGACAGGCTTACCCAGCAGCCTCTTTACTCAGCAGTGCTCTCAGGCGTTGGGGAGTGCGTTCAGGCTCTGAGTACTCAGGACGCTGTGACTCAGCACCGTGGGGCACAGGAAGGCACTGTGGTTTGCCTGGACCTCCTTGTCCCAGGGGACACTGCTGCTGGGGTTTGCCATCAGGGTCCCTATTCCTCTGCCAGGGTCCCTGGCTGCCTGGGCCCCGGGACTCACAGGAACTGAGCGTCTCCCAGCCCTGGTTCTGCCGCTGCCCTTGTCTGCCCACTGTGTTAGCAGAGATCGGCTGCTCGCCAATTCTTGTCTTCTGCAACAACAAAGAATTCAGAACTGAGACAGGGAGTAGCGGTCAGCCAGGTGGCAAAGCTGAGTGAAGAGGAATGCCCCTGGTGGGCTAGGCAGGCAGGAAGGGACGGAGTATGCCTAGCCTGGATTGGACTGGAGCTGTTATGGGCATGAATACGGATATTCTCTTCCCTCTCTCTTCTGGGAATTTGTGGGTGGGGCCTCTGGATGTGAAGTTTCCAAAAACCCTCTTATTATCTTTGTCAGAGCCATGTTATGGGCCTTCATCGCTCCATTGGTGCAAGATGGGATGGGGTGGGGGTGATCAGCCTGGGCTGCTCCCAGAAAAAGGCCAACACCCCACCTGAAGGTTACAGAACAAAGCCGTGACTCAGCATGACTCAGCATTCTTTCTTGCTGGTCAGCTTTTAGGGCTTGTCTGCTTGTTCCAGGACATGGAAATTTATTGTTCTTTAAAAATTCCCATTATCCTTATTCTTTTAGCTCTACTGACACATAGGCTGAGACACACCTCTGATGGCCAACTTGGGGAATCTTTTCCCTGCTCATGGATTTTGGGGGTTTCAGGGTCCCAGTGTGGCCACATAGCTTCCCCAGATGGCTGAGGATGTGCTTTTTTGTCGGGGAGGCCCTTTTTTCTTCGTGGCTGGGTGTTCTTGGGCTGTGTGATACTTCTTGGAAAATTGATAGTCTAAGTGTTCAGATAAATACTTCGCTGCCTCTTACCCATTCTCACTCAGCTGTGTGCAGGAAGCCATGTCCCTGCCCACAGGAACTTGGTTTTCCATAGAAAGTGCTGTCAGCAGTGGGATTAGCTGTTTCTCCGTCTGCTGATGTTGTGTTGGTGAGCCCCTAGAGGCTGCCTGAGTGGAAACTCGAGGCAGGAGCCACAGGAGGAAGAGCCGGGAGGCTCCAGCTGCCGGGAGAGTGCAGGACAGGCTTCCCAGGGCCTGACTCATCCAGCTCTCACGGGGCTATCATGATTGTCCCCAGCTTCCATCACCTCTCACCCTCAACCTTCAGCTCCCGTGTGCCCCACAGGGGTGTGTGCACCCAAGCCAGCCGAACAGCACGGAGGAGTCCCCAGGGTTAGTGTGAGTCTGTCCCCTGCCTTCTGCTCTCAGGGCGTGGACTCCTGATGTGGTCCTGATGCAGCTGTGCAAAGCTCCCCCCTACCTTGCTCCTGCGTGCTCGAGCAGCTAGGTTCCTGACCTGTGTTTATTCGTGTTGTCTGTCCTGGGGCTGGCACCTGTGGACCCTGGTGGTTGTAGGGAGGGAATGCTTCAGCTGGAGCGTGGCTGGAGCCCTGAGCCCCCAGTCAGAAGCCCCTGCCCCTGCCCCTGACTGCTGGGCTCCTGGCTTTGGACTATGTCTGTTCCCAGGCTCTCAAGTTCCTTTTTTCTTCTGAGGGTCACACAAAACCTTTAACATCTTTGTTGTACACACTAGTGTTACGACACAGCAGGTTAAACCACTGCTTGCAACACCATATCCTGTATTGGAGTGCTGGTTTGTGTCCCAACTGCTGTATTTCTGAATCCAATTTCCTTGCTAATACACTGAAGAACAGTGCAAGGACTTGGGAATTCCAGCCTTAACTGCTGTAGCCATTGGGGAGTGAACCAGCAGATGAAGGATCTCTTTCACTCGCTGTCTTTCAGTCTGCCTTTCAAATAAATAACTTTTTAAAAAGATTTATTTATTATTATTGGGAAGGCAGATTTACAGAGAGAAGGAGAGACAGACAAAGATCTTCCATCCACTGGTTCACTCCCCAAGTGGCTACAATAGCGCTGATCCAAAGCCAGGATCTAGGAGCTTCTTCCAGGTCTGCCATGTGGGTGCAGGGTCCCAAGGCTTTGGGCCGTGCTTGACTGCTTTCTCAGGCCACAGGCAGGGAGCTGGATGGGGAGTGGAACAACTGAGCCATGAACCAG